TTTCAAGTAGAGAAAGGTTCAATGCCTTACAAAATGAACTAATATTTCTGTCACTTACCCCAAGCTTAACAACACATGGCGGCTGCAAAATATGCGGCAATTACTTCGAAAAATTCTGTGATCGTACAAATTAAATCTTGTTTTTCTACCATCAAGTATCAAAATATCTTTTTCATCTAAACCTATAGAGATTAGGATTTTTAGTTAAAGTGTGATATGAAGTGGTCAATGGACAGAAAAATCTAGTGATTCAAAGATTTAAACTTTAGCTTAACACATAGTTATATGTTTGACATTAATCAGTAATGAAAACGACCTCGAGCTTATCTTGACCAGGTATAAATCATCCAAGTGTATTTGTCCTGTTTATTTTAGACTGGTTTTTATTGATTAACATACAAAAACACGAATTGGTGTTATTTTATCATCAGTGAATATTGGTTGACAACCCACCAAACTTATTATTTTTGAAAAGCTGCCTTTAAACAAAGACGTTGGAATGCAGATTTTTAATGCAGAAGTATTCGGTTTCTTATTGATTATAGTATCGTCACTCTTATAAATAAACAAGATACTGTAGTGGAACACTTCTATAAAGAAAACGCGATTGGTAAAAATAAACATTATTGTACTTGTTTTGTTTAACTGTACCAAAAACACTTCTTGCGCAAAACGTTCTTTTTGCGTTGCTGCTATTTTTCTTAACGTGCTGCTCCCTATGTAATGCCTACTTTCTCTTTCAATAAAATATTCAAACATAGATTTATTTTGATTTAAGTGACGGGATAGTATGGAACATTTAGTGGTGATCGTAGTCAATCACTACTCGGTCACCACTAAAATACCATAAACTTTTTCATTTTTTCACAGTGATTTGAAATCAGAGAAAAATCTGCGTTTTACATTTATATTTGACTAATTTATGCTCCCTAAGTAACATCACATGACAGTCAAACTCACTTATGCATGAATGCGCATCACAGTGACATCATTGAATAAGAAATTATCAACAAGTTCTACAAACAAGACAAAACAAGAATAACACTAAATGAATGTATTTGCAATCTAGTGAATTTCTGTGTTTTCTGCTTCTGTCAATGCATATCTACACGCCAGAATGCGTAGCATTTCAAATGACAGTGTGTATTTGTTATTGAATCATTCACTTGTACATTGAAATGATTCCATAGCAAATCCTCACTGGGATACATCTATTTTGCTGCATATTCATTAATTGATTTGTCATTTATTGGCATATGCTCGATTAATAAGCAAACTGTAATATCGTTATCCCAGTCAGTGCAATTCTTATTAGTATGCCTATCTATTTTCATTTTCATCTATCGCAAACTCTTATATTATTATTATTATGAAGAATAACTTTTTCTAATATCATCATCATGAAATATCACGCTAAAATGCAATTCATTTCGTTAGATTTCGCTTTTATGACTCTGGAACTTCTTCCTCTTTTCTTTTCTCAAATACATTTCAAAACTGTTTCAAATACTACAAGGCAGACAAACAAACACAAACAAACAAAAAACAACAACAACAAGTCAATAATTTCGCCTCTTGATAGAATTTTCGAAGAGAGAGAAAAAAAAGGGAAAATTTCATTCTTTAAAAAAGCAAAAAATTTATAATAGATAGATATATAAATAATATGCTAGAAAAAAAAATATCATGTGTTCATCTCATATTACATTTAATTTGTATGCCAAGTTCATCTGTTCACTTGTTATCCGATAACTTCTAGTGAATGAATATATATATATATATATATATATATATATATATATATATACACACCAGAGAGTACAGCGAGAGAGAGAGAGAGAGTAGAAGTGCTTCGATGAAATGGCAAACAGTTTGTTAGATTAAATAAATATGTGCACAAATGCCCATCACTATGTACACTTGAGTGTGTGTGCGTGTGTGTGTACACAAACAACGATGCGTTTGTTCTGCCTTCATAATCTATATATATATATATATAAATATAAAAGAGATATTTCATGATATCCAGCAAAAAAATATACGAAACCCAAATGATTCTCAGCCATGAAAACACACAAGTGTGTGCTTGTGTGGTTTGTCTGTTGGTTTGCTCTAAAGGTTTGTGTTTTTTTTTATCCAAAACACAGTCAAACGAAGATTGTTCTCGTTCTTGCATTCTTCCTCTCTTTCTAATTTTTTTTTCCTTTCAAAATAAGGAAAAGCACGAGATTCTTTAATACAAGTAAATAATCAAGAAAAAAAAAAGAAAATAATAATTTTCTATTCAGTTTTTTGCTTACATTCTATAGATATAGATATAGATAGATATGCATGCTGATATAAAATATTGCTAACAGATAAAACAAAAAACCAAAAAAAACTGGTCATAGTAAGTGAGTGAGTGAGTGAGTGAATAAAAAACTTTAAAAAAGTTTAAAAAAATGTTTTTTCAAGACAAAATCAAGTTAAGATTAAAAAAAAAAGTTAAACTATCATGGGAGTCATTGAAGATGAGTAGATTAAATTCTGACAAGATTTGTCTTCCACATAGTTTTTTTTCGGTTGATTTATATAGTGAATTGCTTAACTGGAATGCTTGCCTCCTTCCTAGGCTGTTTTATTTATTATTATTCTTGTGCACTGAAAAATTATTTTTAGCATGATACATCATAAAAAGGAAAAGGAGAAGTAAGGAGTGTGAATATATATACAAAGTGAACAAAAATAGTAATTGTACTATGATGCATGATAAGTCAGTCAGTCAGTCAGTCACTTGAATATCACTCTGAAACACGATATAATAATAATACCAAAGCTTACACTAATCAAGATTAAAATGTTATTATTAATTTTCGATTTTTATTTTTGTTTTCCTAAAACGAGCATAATTTAAATTCTTTTCTGGGATATATATATATATACATATACATATACATATAAATTGATTAATTGTGGTTTTAGAAAAAAATTCGGTAGAAAACGTTTTGAGGAATAGAATTTTTCGAATTGGCAATGCCAATTAAACAAGAAAGTCACTGATTCTTTTCGTCATAGTGTCTTTTTTTTCGATAGAAATAATAAAACCATAATTTTTAGGTATAGTAACATGAATGAATTTCTTTTTAATTCAGAGAAAAAAAATTGAAAAAACTGCCTTGCACAAATATGGTGCGCGCCCGCGCGAGTGAGAGAGACCTATAGAAATAGTCTAACAACTAGGCGAATAGACAAGATGGAATACATTGTAGTGCCTCCACATATATTTGAGTTCGCTTACATGTAATTTGGTTAAGCCCTTTCGATTAATTTATTTAACCAAGGAACTTGTATAGCAACAACTTATATGTATCATTGGTTTTTATGAGCTCATACGACTGAGCATTGCTTACCCCTTACGCGCATATTCATCCTATTCGCTTCAATGTTAATCTCTTAAATATCTCGATGACTCAAACATGTTCCCATGTATATATATGCACAGTTTAATCTTATTAATTCATTCACACACTCTCAAAACCACTAATTCGGCCGCTAGTGTGCCGGGCCTGTCTGCTTATGGTCCTCTGTCCCATTTTGTAGTGTGCTAAAAAATAAACGTATTCAACACTTCGAGTTTACCTTCTGATTTATTAACGATTTAGTAACGATTGCGTAGACGAGCTATTTACGAAGATTAACAACACGTTGAAATTGGCCACCACAACGTTAATAGATTAAGATGGACAACTAGTGAAAATACCAATCTTTTAAACTTTCTGTAACAGTCTGAATTATAATTATAACTATTGTATGTGCATAGATATGTTGTGTCATATAAAAACAGTTAACTAGAAATCAGAATGTACTAAACAGTGATTCTTTCATAGTTTGAAACTTTAGGAAAAAAATAATTTACGACATTTTAATACAGTTAGTTATTCTTTGAATAAAATTCTATCATATTCATACACCATAGTCCGCATATTTTGATGAATGTACTTGATAATTTATCTGCATAAAAAGGATTTGTGAAATTTTCATAATTCTGATCTTAACTTGACCACTAGACAGTTGGTAATTAATTTTACTCTTAAGTGAATATAGCAGATTTTCTTTTTCGGAGTTTATTTGATAATTCTATGAAATTGTCAGCTAACTTTCAATGCATTCGATAAAAACAAAAACACTGTTTTTCTTTCCAATTATTGCTTAATAAATTTTTTTAACTCTTAAATCTTTCTGGTTTTCGTAAAAAGACGATAAATCGAACTATTAGCTGTTCATAATGAAAATCGTTAGTTCACTGAATCAACAGCTTTTTGCATTATTACATTCAAAAAACCTATTCAATGTATAAAATTATTCTTTTCATGTACAATTCAAATAAATTCTAACAAGTTTGTATTGGTTAATTGAATCTTCTTGCCACTGATGTTCACAATTACAACTGATCAGTCTCATAAGTTCATTGTTTCATGCCATATAAATACATAGCATGATTTATTGAATGAAAGCAAAATGTAATCTTTAATCATAAAATGATATCACCGTGAGAAAATATTGAAAACTAGCGAGACTCAGACTATTGTTTTATTTTACTCTTACATTTCTCAGTATTGCTCATTCATAACAACAGAAATGACTTAAGGTATAACTGACCAATGTCGCGTTGATCATCATATTTTTTTCAACACTGATTCAAAATCTAGTGACATATATTGTCGAATTTGGTTAATTATATATTTAGAAATAATCTGTTCACAGTTAAGGAGGAGTTAGTGTGTCTGTCTGAATTTTTTCCATCAAAAACACGTGACCTTGATATTTTGTTTATGTATCAAAGTTACTGTTAAATACTCAATAATAGTACTTAAGATTCATTCAGTCTCAATGGAAGCCAACTTTACATACAGTCTTATAAACGATTACTAAAAATATAGTGTATTGTATTCTTAATTATTGTTGGGATACTTCTATTGCTTGAATGTACACCTAAATATTGTTTTTCTCTGACTTTTTAGTTTATCATTTCCCGTGACGGTAATTGTGGTCTGAATTATGAACACTCTGTTGCTGAAGGAATTGCTGTAGTTCGCCTGATTGAACATATTCTTCAATATATGTAAGTTGTTGACCTCTGTTAAACTATTCAATGAAATAGAACTCCAATCATATGTTAAATAATGTCATCAGTAAGTAGAATCTAATAGAAAAGTTCAATAACTGATAAAAATTAAATTAAAATCGATTCTCTAATCATAAATCTATTTATCGATGTCAAATTACAGATGGGAAATGACTGATACAAGAACACAATTCGATCATTAAACTGGTTAGAGCAAAACTAACTATCTCTTTGTTTTGTACGCCAAATGATGTTCTTGTTAGTTTTTCATTGTGATTTCTATACTAGATTTTATCCAGCACTTTCTAAAACTTAACCGTTAGTAGATACTTATTCGAATAAATCTCTTTTAAATAATAATAAACATTAGAGAGGTGTAGTAGTCATTGTCATCCTACAATAGTGTTGACAGAAAAGATATCACTATTTGTTTAATTGAATTAATATGATCATAGAATAATTTGACCTTCAGAATCATATTTTAAACAAAATTAAATGAAGATGGTATTTTTTTTCTTTTACTTAAATTCTAGGAAAGAAGTTAAACGATGGAAATTAGTTCGATTCCCATCTGTATGTGAATTAGCATATCCGAGAAGACTGAAATGGAATTTAGACAATAATTCAAAATCAATGATTGACTATGCTTTAAATGAAATCGATAAGTACGTAGTAATTTTTTTCATGATTATGTAGTTTAATAATATCAACGCTGTTTTAATCATATCTTGTCATGTGTCGACTTATTGAGAACCGGAAAATGAAAAACGTCTATTTCGTCTCAGCTTCAAACTCAATAATAAACCCGACTATTTCCACTGGAAAGGAGTGAACTCACGATTTTTGACCAGTGAATTTTAGTTTGATGATCAACATCTCCAATTTTAGCTATTTGGATATATATTGCTGATTATCTAGTACCATTAATGTGTTCATTGACCCACTACCAACGTGGTTGAATCGAAGGCAAATTGTATCGCTTTCGAACTTTGATAAATCATTTGATCATTTCTCTTCATCTTAAAAAACAGATACTCAATCAAGGGTATCCAGATAAATTGTCTACGAAAATAGATATTTGGGTTCTTAAATACCTGAACTAAACAGTCATAAATATTTAATAACCGAATATAAAATCTGTTAGGTTTCAGTTTTTTTAATTACGAAAACTTGTTGCATGAGTGTGATATTCATACTGAAGTGCTTTATTGTTTGTCAAGAGCATAACATTTTATCGATTGATTCAGAATTCAAAAGCGCTGACTGTAGGGTTCGTCACTAAGTACGTTTGAAGCTATTACGAGTTCACCTTAGTTGATAAACGCGAACGAGACAATTACCAGCGTCCAGATAGGCTACCGTGAATCCCAAGCTGAAGATAGAAGGCTTTGTAAGCGTAGAAAGTATATTCTACAAACACCCAGCAATCACAAAACAATCAAGCACACAACTCTCGTTTATTTATATATTATAGAAACGTCCTTGGGACAGTTATGAAAATAGCACACTAAAATACACATCAGCCAATCACAGCCATGGATTTTCCTGGTGGGAAATGAAATCTCAAGGTCATCTGATCAGTCCATGCCTGCAAACGTGAAATCCAAAATAAGACATTTATCAAGCGAGTTTTGGGGATCTAACATCCCCAACACTGACACCATCAAATTTTAAATGATTAACCATTTATTTCAAATAGACACAAAACCTTAGTAGCTTAAGCATTACGAATAAACAAAAGATATATGAAGATACAGCAATAATAGGACTGACAATACAAAAACTTTTAAGCAATTATACGTAGATGAAAGAAAATTATTCAAAATCGATATGAAAACATATTTATAAATACAAAAAGTCAAAAGGCCAATATGAAGATGGATTAGTTCACATTCTTCCAAGTTTCGAGTAAAAATTATTGTTAGGTCTATTATTAAACTTCGCGGCAGGGAAATTAAACACTCTCGATTTCTCTAATTCACGACTGACGATGATTATCTTGCCTAAAACATTTTGCACATACGCGTGTAATTTCAACTGACAAGTCATTCTGTCTGTCTTCTGATCATCATCATCATCATTCATTATTGGCTTGTGTCACTTATTCCGAATAATGTATGATTTTCACTCAGTCACAATTAGTTGAGTCGACATTTTTAAAATCATTTTTAACAAATTCTTAAGGAAGTGGGATTCAAACTGAAATGTGGTGAACGTTTTGAACTTCTAGTGGTCCCTGTGTTAATTTCATTTTGTTGATTACTCTTGTAACATAACAATAAGTAGTTAACGTTCCGAGTTTGCATAAAGAGCATTATATTCTATTAATCTATTTTCTTTCAAGTGAAATTCCCTAAATCTTTTTTTTTTTTAAAAAAAACGTTCATGCAGTTTACCTGATTAGTGTAGATTTAATTAAAGTTTCCTTTAATTAATCTACCATTTTAATTAGAGAAATTTTTTTTTTATTAGCATTTATCCCTTCTCTCTTGCTTCTTCATTTCGATATTGATGATTGAATTAAATTATGCTTTTTTTGTAAAAAAAAACTTCAACTGATTAAAAAAAATTAATTTATTAATTGGTAACATTTAATTTTATTTATTTATTTAAGTGAATATTGAATAATATATATGATTACAAAACTTCATTATCTTTCTTCAACTTTGCTATTTCATTGAATGATAATTCTATAAAAACAGCACACGCAATTACAACCTATGCGTGAAAATTTTGCATAGAGCTTCAGTTATTTCGAGATTATTAACCACAGTGGATTAATACAAGACTAAGAAGAATAAACTATCCTATAATTCTTACCGACTAATACCCTTTAAGTTCACACCAATTTGCAGTAAATAACTACATTTGAAATATTTCAAAAGCATTATAAAACACTACTGAACTACTTACTATTCAGCATATAAACAATACTTTCAAACCTTTTCTGTAAATATATGTCTATGACTGTTGTTACTATGATTATTCTTGAAAGGCAGTACTAGTCAAAAATTTTCAAATAATTCTATTTTCTATTAATCAAAATGTTTGCAAATTTTTTTTTTCAATGTTTCAGGATAGCAGACGATCTGGACTTATACATACTTCGTTATAAACAATATGGACGAGAATTCCCAAAAACTGTCAACATGAGTCCAGATTCATTTATTCAATTAGCTTTACAATTAGCTCATTTCAAGTAAGTTATTCAATAATCATAAAGATGGTTTTCATAATATGTATATCTTCATTCTAGAATACAAAATCATAATTTTGAAAAATATTGTTCACTGACTGATCTCTGTGATCGGTCGATCCTATGCAGATGACATTTAGTTGGACGTTCATCAATTTCTGTTTTGTTTATACTAAAAGCTTTCAAATGAGACAAAAAAGTTTGGAATGAAGTTATTGGAAAATTATTCATGTTGATTTAATTCAACAGATAACAGCTCACAAATCTTATTTGTTTATTTAATGAAAAAATTGCTGATCAAATATTAATAATGGCTTTTGTTGTGGAGAATAATTTTTGGCATTAGCAGTACTTTCTTACGTAGTTAGGCCTGTAACCCTCAACTGAGCATTGGCCGCCGACCGGTATTCTCTAACCTACTATGTCCTGGCCTTTCCATTCCAGTTTTGTCCAATTTTTGTTCATTCTCATATCTGGCGTTATGTGTTCTTTGGCCTTCCTCTTTTCCGTTGACCTCGAGGGTTCCAAGTGAGTGCTTGTCTTGTAACGCAGTTGGGTGCTTTCCACAATGCGTGTCCCATCCACATCGAGCGCTTCTTCCTGATTCCCTCCTCCAACGGAATCCGGTTTGTTCTTTCCCACAGTAGGTTGTTGCTGATAGTGTCTGGCTAACGAATTCGAAGTATTTTTCGTAGACAATAAATCAATACTTGTATCTTCCGGATAATGGCTTTGCTTTATCTCCAAGTTTCCAACTCAGACAACAGAAGTATTTTGACGTTTGTATTGAAAACTGTGACTTTGGTGTTTGTCGACAGTTCGTTTGAGTTTCCAGATGTTGTTCAGTAGTAGAACTGCAATGCTTGCTTTCCCGATCAGCGCCTTCACATCTGCGTCAAAATCACCTTCCTCATCAATGATGGCGACCAGATATGTAAAGTTTTTGAAGTACATGGATGCTGCTTCGATGTTGGGTGGGTTCAGTGAGGGCCTTTTGATTCAAGAATTCCTTAAAGTGCTCTATCCACCTGTTTCGCTGTTCTTCAGTGTTGCTGATTACTTTACCTTCCTTGCTTTTCACTGGTCGTTCTGGTTTACGATGGTTCCCAGCGAGCTTCTCTGTTGTATCGTACAATTGTTTTATGTTTCCTTCTTTTGCAGCCTTTTGCGCCGTCATTGCTAGATCCTCCACATATTTTCGTTTGTCAGCTCTGATTCTCTTCTTCACTTCCCTGTTTGCTTCTATGTATTCAGCTTGTGCCTTAACTTTCTCTGCTCTTGTTCGGCTGACATTGATTGCTGCCTTCTTGTTCCTCCTTTCTTCAATTTTTTTGAGAGTACCAACAGAGATCCACTCCTTGTGACAGTGCTTCTTGTTGCCCAGAACCTCAGAACATGTTAAAGTGATTTTTTCCTTGATCTCTTTCTAGTCCTTCTCTATACTTATTTCCTCTTTAGTTTCAGTTTCATTTCGGCGGCCAGCAAGTGGTGATCTAAGGCTATGTTAGCTCCTCTCTTGATTCTCACGTCCTCCATGGTCCTTCTGAACTTTTTATTGATACAAATATGGTCGATTTGGTTCTGAGTAGTGTGATTCGGTGAAACCCGTGTAGCTTTGTGTATGCGTTTGTGTGGGAATATTGTGCGCCAATGACCGGTTTGCTGAAGGCACATAGATTTGTAAATATCCCACCATTTTCGTTCCTTTGTCTCAGTCCATTTTCTCCTATGTTGTTTTCATATCTGGCGTTATCCATTCCAACCTTGACGTCTAGGTCTCACACCAGGATTGTCACTTCCTTTGATAGGCAACACTCGACAATTGACTGCAGCCACTCGTAGAATTTATTTTCAGCGTCTTCATTGTAGTCATTGGCAGGTGCATAGCGTTGTACGACATTCATTGTAATGACCTATTTCTTTGTTTCTAAGGATGCTTTGATGATTCTGAGTCCATGAGATTCCCATGCTATCAGTGCTTTTTGTACTTGTTTAGACAGTATCAGTGCAACTCCTTGTGTGTGTATGAGGCATTTTCTTCTTCATGGCCGGAGTATGACAGCAGCTCTCCTGAAGCTAGTTTCAGTTGTCCAACCTGCATCCAACGTGTTTCAATGATTCCAAGCACCTTCAGGTTATCTTTTCATCACTGTAGCAATTTCAAACAGTCTTCCGGTCTTCCATGTACCTAAAAGGATGGTTACTCTGGCTGTCAGAAAGTGCATCGGCCTCATGACTTCCGAAGGAACTCGTGACATCATAACTTCTGAATTAAGAGCTTCTAACTCCCAGGGCAAAGTTTAAATACTTTGAATTAATTTTTCTGATTGGCGTTATTTTAGAAAGTTAGTTTTCTACGGGATGAGGTCGCTAACCCCATGCTCAACCCTTCTCCTTTGTCCGGCCTTGAAACTGAAAGTACCTCAAAAGAGGCTCTAGGCGGAGACGCATTAGTAGTAATGTACTGCAATAAGGAACTCACTTTCATATAAATTTACATCATAATTATTCAAGAGTCATATTCTTACCATGGTCACTATTTTTCATTCATATTCAGTGACAATAGTTAACTATTAGTTCAAGTGCTACAACAATTTTTTTTATTCATCAAATATTGGGCACGTGAGTTTCAATTTAATTGTCCTTTGTTTCTTCTCAGAGGATAGACAAAGAGGAGAATATGTTACGCGTCCAGTGTTTCAATTTGAGATTTCCATTAATTGAATGAATGCCAACTAGCACAAAATCTAGGCTTACACAAAGTCATGCTAGAAGATCAATTTATCTCGTATCTTGTCACTTTTATTATTATTTTTTTATATTTCAAAGACTGCATAAATATTTAGTTCCCACTTATGAAAGTGCTTCAACAAGACGATTTGCTTTAGCTCGAGTAGATAATATTCGAGCTTGTTCAATGCCAGCTTTGGAATGGTGCAAAGCAATGACAGGTCAAATCAGATGTTCGGTAAGTAATTCTGTTCAATGATATTTTAGAATTTATACACCAGCATGTCCGATAAATCATATTACTAACTGATGACATTAAGAAAGTGGTGAAATTTCAAGGTAAAACAAGGTTCCTCCAACTGGTTCCCCTTTGATTCGATTAAATTTTTCTAATTTTATGGATTAGAAAATCTATCACCGAGCAATTACTGGTTTGAGTATAAAACTTCATTATCACTAAATAAATCATTCAATTATTAGTATCAATCCAAAGTTTACCTGAATTATTTTTTTTATTGGACAACAATTCACTAGTCGAACTCATACATAGTTAATGGTACTAATACCTACTTTAATAATCTGATCTTCAAGTTAAAATTTAATAATCTAATTATGATTTATTACAATCAGTATAATTTATTCCAAACTTTTTTCTGATTAGGAGAAGTGGTCTGAAAATATTTGACAACTAGTGAAAACTAGGTGACAATAAATAGCCCGTTTATTTCTAGTACAAAAATTTCTGGTCAATGTAAGACCAACAACTTGGACAGGGATTATATCATCAACACTGAGAACTCATGTTGAGGTCGTTACTTTCCAATCATCAAGTTGGTATACAATGAATCACATTTCCAAATTAAACCAATTTACGATATTGATTGATCTCTTGTGTCCTAAGGTTTTGAATAAACCGTGTAAATAAAGTCATTCCATGATAGAAAATAATTTGAAAGCTTTTCATGGATAAGTAATACTGATCACTGAAAAAACCAATGTGACTATCGCTAGCCTGTTTTCTAGCTAAAATAAGGTGACTGCACTAAACAAAACCGGGTTCATTTTTAAAGACTTATAATTCCAAACAAATTACTAGCTACCCGAACTTGAAGTGATGAGAACTGCTGATAAGTTTCAAAAAGGAGAAACCGAGTGTCTTGGATTTTTCCTGATAGCCACCATTCAAACACATCAGATCAAGTTGGCTTCAAACAATAAAATCGAAATTAAAAATGTCTAACTATTTTGCTCAAATGTTTTTGTTGTATAAGAGATTGGTATGGTTGAAAAGTGTGCAGTTTATAAACTGATCTAATTTTTAGAACCTAAAATTTACTATTTATTAGAAGTTAATTATAGTTTTAACTGATAACTTTTTTTTAAAACGCCGCTTTAGACCGATGAAAAAATCCGTTTACTACGCAAAGCAATGGAATGGCAAACAGAAATTATGCTTGAAACTATTCTTGGTCATGGTGTAGATAATCATTTACTTGGTTTAAGACAAATAGCGCTAACTCATGGTAAAGAATTACCAAATATTTTCAAAGATCCAAGTTATATGGAGTCGAATAGATTTCGTCTATCCACAAGTCAAGTAAGTTACAGACTACTTTGAAACTGACTAAAATGTTGGGTAAGTTTTCGTTAAATAAAAATTATTCAGTAAACAAATATTCGTATGAATAATTTAACAGAATTATCAGTATAGCGCTGTAGCGATCGTTGAAATCATCGAAAGCGTATGTGATGTAGGATGCTTACTACTGAGAAATCACATACCAGGGCTCATATTTTAATGGCGTTTCACCTGAATCGAGCTATAAGCACATAAAATCATATTTTTAAGAATGGTAAAGATTGATATTTTAAAGTGTTGCTGAGATGTGTTGTCCAAGTTTTTTCACATGATAAAATAATTTGACCGAAAAGTGTCCCATTATTTACAGCTTCATCACACAACCATAAAATCTCAAGTAATGAGAAAAACTAAGAGCATGTGTTTATTAAAATCAAAAGCAAATTAACGATAAACAAATCGAAGATTATACAATTGTAAGATAGTCGACCGAGATTTCTAGTTAAACTGATAATTAGAAATCAGAACCAATATTGCTTAAGTTCAAACTGAAGGTATTTACTCCTAAAAGCATAACAGTTTACATATTATTTCATTTAACTTCAGTTGTCTATTGTTTTTACACTTAATAACTTGTTATGGTTCAGGCCCATTTACTTACTTACGCCTGTTAACCTTAATGGAGCATAGGCCGTCAACTAGCACTCTCCATCGTACTCTTTCCTGGGCCTTCCTTTTAAGTTGTACCCAACTGCTGTTCATTCTTTTCATGGCTGCTTCCAGTCCTGGGCGTTATGTCTTCTTTGGTCTTCCTCTTTTCTTTTGGCTTTGAGGAGTCCAAGTGAGGGCTTGTCTTAAGATGTAGTTGGGTGCTTTACTTAATATTTGTCCCATCCACCTAAGGTGCCTTTTTCCCGATTTCTTCTTCAGCTGCGTAACATTAGACCAGCTTTAATGACTAATTAACAAGGTTATTTTGTGCAGTCCTGTTGAATCTCAAAGGTGGATTTCCTTACAGTATAGCAATCACTGTATAACCACTGAAAACCAAAAAGAAATGGACGATTGTTTCATGTAATCCTCGTGGAACGAAATATTACACACCTATAAAAACTACTAAGGATTTTCCATTAACGAAAAAAAACTTAAGTTACTAAATGAAAGGAAATCCAGTGATCCATATTCGAAATTTTATCAATCTTGGATATAACATGTTCATTTAGAAATGTTAAATTACTATTTCACTCAATGTAGTTGACTGTAAAGTATTTTGAAATATCAATCTTCATGTATCTGATCTGAACAGATTGTAAAGTAGATTTCTACTAATCTCAAAGCAATATTCTCTATTAGTTGATATTCATTGAAAACCATAAAGCACTAGATAGACATTAAATTATAATTCATTTCTTTAGCTGAAGAGTCAGCTGACACCAATCAATGACCAAAGAACATTTAATTAAAGAATAAGGGAATAGCAATGGTTTTTTTGCCACATAAAAATCAATTCTGTTAGCACTAACTAGTGAGTGAGGTATATAAGTAATGCAAACTATTTGTCTATTTCATTAAAATAATCACTCTGTAAAACAATGATATCAACAGTATGCAAAGTAGTAGTTTCCTGAGGAAAAACAAAAAAAAAACCAAAATGGTTTATTCTTTTTACCTTGTTCTATAAACGTGATAAAACAATTCAAGAGATTGGAATTTCGATTTCATTTTTTCTGTTTCAAATAAAATAAAATAAAACAGAAGATTGAAATTTACTATAGTGCAACTATTCGATGTTAATGAAACAGATTGCGTTTTTCTTTTTTTTTGCTCTCTTCATTCATCGTTTTTTTTTTTGAGCAATAAAATATATAGAAATACTCTCATGGATTAATTAATTATTACTTGAGCAAATAGGCACATACACATATATCTGTATATATATGTATATATATATCGAAGTTTAAACGTGCATAACACAAAGACAGAACTATGCCAGTCCAAGCATAAGATTGATGAAAAAATGTATATGCACGAATAGACAATTAACAATTTCTCTCTTTCATTTTATTCACTCAAAAAAAAGAAAAAAGAAAAATTCTCATAGAATTTTAGACGAACAAAAATAAACAGTAATTCGAACTTCTAATTTGATTTTTTTTTTTTATCAAAAAAATAAAAAAAAAAATAAAAATGATTCACAAAGAAATAAACGTTGATTCAAAAAAAAAAAACACTAAAATGCTTGTCTATAAAATGAAACAAAAAAAAGTGTTGGAAATTGTTTTTTTTTTAATGAACAATAAATTAATTCAAATGCACAAATACTCACTCTATTATTAATAATAAATTTACATCACCATAATTGATAAGGCGCAAAAATGAGTAGTAGTTGATTGAGTAAGTTAAAGTTGAACATTTATTCAATTGGAAAAGTAGTTGTACTAGAAATCAACGGGAATAAACTGTCTGAAATCAAGATAAACATGTACTATCTTTGAGATGGTGGAGAAAACTTGTAGCTCAGGTGGATGATTGTGGTGGTGTTAAGTTCTTTGAGCTCAAAGAACGAAACACCACTACAATGTACTATCTTTATAAGTTGAATTGCTAATTTTTTTTTTTAAAAAAGATTATTGACAGTTGATTACAGGTTTCTTTACAGTAGTATTACAGTTTATTTAACTCAATTGTTGTGTTTTTGGCTCAAAATGATGCGAATGCGAATTTTCTGTGGAGTTCATGTTTCAAATCAGTATATCTATATATATCTTGCGAAATTAAAAATGAAATATTGGTCAATTACACTTCCTGTTGATCGCCTTTAACATTGAAACATAATAGTTCCTATAAATATTACTTTAACATTGATTTTAAATAATTCAATTTAGATTAATGACAGTATGCCTAAATAAATTTAGCAATTAGCATCGGACCAGTATCTCTCAGGGTTTTTCACCATTACTCCTAATTTAGACAAAATGAGTATTTTTTTAATTGAGTAACGGAACAAAAACATACATGCTAAAACAATGTCAATGAAATAAAGATTTATAATTTCACAAACCACTTAATAATAACACATATATCCAAAATCAATTGAATAGCTAAAAAAAATTAAAGTTTTATATTACTACTGATAAGGAATTTAATATAAGCGTTTGTAGAATTTCACAATTTACATCATGAACTGGTTTTGGATGGCGATTCAGTGTTCCAAAGTCTAAGGACCACTAAAAGATCGATGGGTCTCTTCTTGGTCCTTTAGTAGATTGTGGATATGCACTTTTGAAAAAATTACACACTACAACATAACAGCTGGTCAGTGTACTACTCATCAGGAGGTATTATGATTGGCTGATTAAAGACAGTTCGTGATATTACTTATAGCCAGTTTATTTATCCCTACTGTATTTTATTCAGGTACCAACAACAATGGATGCATTTATGTGTTATGGAGCTGTTGTACCTAATGGCTATGGTGCTGCATACAATCCACATCCTGACAATATTGTCGTTGTCATTTCATGTTGGCGTACTAATCCTAATAATAATGCATCGAAATTTGCAGAAATGCTTGATTCAGCATTTACAGAAATGCGTGAACTGGTCCTTTCCAATCCCCATTTAGCCAAACAACCATCAAATGAACCAGTTGAATGGAGTATAGCTAAATCGCTTGGTGCTGATGTCGGTCTAAATGTTACTGGTTAACGAGAGAAAAGAGAAAAATAAAAGCAAAATATTTAAGCAAATAAATAAAAAGGAAAACAAACTTTATACATTTATTTTTAGCGCCATCCGATATTTTTTCATTTATTCAGAAGCAGAATTATATATTTATTTTGATTCATTTCTTTTTTGTGATTATTTAACAATATTTTTACTGATTGTCTTTTCTCGATTTTATTGGCTTATTCATATAGAAAACGATTATAAAAAAAACCACAATAGTGCAAATTTATTTACTCATCATAACAAATTTTCAAACTAGTCTTCTCTCATTCAAATTCGTTTTGTGATAAGATTAATTAAAGATCTTCACTATTTATTACCCAACCTGTATTGTTTGTTCGCATTCAACCATATAGTTATATATTAAGACGAAGAAAAACAATAGTGCTATTCTGTGTTGAAATTCAATTGATTTACCAGAATACTACTAGTAAATTAGTAAGTAGAATATAAGAGTAATGCATCATTAACTATATTGGTGAACTCATTAGGATAAATTACTAATCCTGTTAGTGTACATTCGTCTAAGAAATAGATATTGAAGTATCTATATACATAAATATATATATATATATACACTATTCTACCGCAAATTGCTCACAGTATTAATGAAATTTCAGAAAAACATTTATAAATAACTTACATGTTTTTTTTTTCTTTCATTTTATATTGGTTAAATCTGTTAACATGTTTGTTTACATTAACTATTATAATCATATAAAAATTATTTGATACACAATGATATATTTAAAAACATGTGTGTATTAAATGAGATTTCGACTAATCTCAAATTTCCCTTCAATCATGTACACCGCTCAGGTTGTGAAATGTACAAATCATCATACTCTAATAATCATACATATAAATGTCTTATATTGTTACTTATTATTTATAATTTCATAATTTTGACTAGCAAAATTTAGCACAAAAAAAAAAACAACAAAAAAAAAACAAATTAAATTATGCATACATACTGAAGCCATGTTATTATGAACTTATTTAACATTGAATTTAAATTTTCACATTGGATTTGTTTGAGTTAGCGCAATCTCATCTCGACTTGGATTATGGAATTTAATAAACACTCAATTGATTTCCATAAGTTGAACAAGTTAGACTAGTAAATAATGAATTTTTGTGTCACTTTTACCTTAAAATACTGTTATTATTATTACTATTATTATTGTTATTATTATCTTAATTATCATATTGCTACTATATACAAATAATATATCTCCTTCACTTATTTATTATTCATATGCAATACAAATTCGTGATTACATTTTCAATACAAATAAGAAAAATATCTTGTTTTTGCTCTTGTTTGTTTGTCAAGTTTTATTAAAGATTGAAGAAAAAACAAATGAAATCATATCATCCAATAAGGCGTATTAAATCAGACTTAATTAAACACTACACTTAGGTATAATAAATGATAAGTTGGATATACTGATAACTCGAATTCTTCAGTGATATCTACGTAATGGTAATGACGGTTACATTGATCGGTAGTTTATTTCTTTAATTAAATCGAAATAAGACAATGAAATACTGAATGGTTCGGTGGATATGCATGCTGGAGTGTGTATCACTCGTATGCAATAAGATAAACATGAGTAACATTTAATGGACACAATTAAATCGAAACTTTTCATAACTTGACAGTTGTATCATATGATTCAATCATGAAAAATATTAAAAAGAAACAAAAAGAATTCACGTCTGTTCATCTAAAGTATTATCTCTAAGAAATAATATTAAGCCCATTAACTAAGCATGTTCAATCAAATGTATAATCTGTATCATTGATTAGCGATCAACAAAATTAGTTGAAATCGAATTATTATACCATTGAACACTGTCAATGATTTGGCTGTTTCACATAATGATCTTTCATATGGAATTGACAAGTTAATTCATTTGTTGAGCATTAATTGAGTTTAGATTTTTAATTTTATTCAAATAAATGTAACAGCACCATTACCATCAGTCATTATCAATTTAAAATGATTATCTGTAATTCTGCTGAAGAAGTATAACAATAATGATAATAATAATAAGTCAGATGCAACGTAGAACTTCGTACGTAAGTACATCAGTTCATGTCGCCATACCACATCAGCACAGAGATGTAATTGTCAATTCAAATCCCATAGTAGAAGAGGTACTAAAGGTATTAGAAGTAGTCGGAGAGATTAGGATGAGAAGATATTATTCAAGAAGTATGATTCAGTGAGGTAAGTTTAGAAAGACAAAACTTGAGGTGTTGAAAAATGCAGAAGATTAGGATTTAAGAGAACACAAAGAATAAATGCACCGGCGCCACTGCAAATGGATTTGAGCCATGTCATTCAAGGTCTCTAAACATCGATAATTATCATCTCGCGGACCCCGACCAGGTAGTCGACAACTACCGACATGACTCAGTCCACTTGTCAGTGACTTCGTGGATTTCTGCCGTGTTTTGGTTTGGCTGCCCCTAACTTTCTTCCAACCTACTCCTACACTACAAAACAAAGCTCGTCGAGGTAGTCGGTGGTTAGCCATACGCAACACATGTCCCAAACACCTCAACTGATGAAGTTTCATTACTTCATCTATTGACCTGCCATCAATACCTAGCACCCGTTTTCTAATAACAGCGTTGCTCAATCGGTTGTCCCATGATATACGAGCAATGCTTCGGAGACTTCGATGATCGGAGACTAGTAACCTACGAATATCCTCTACCCATAACCGCCGTTTTGCATTGTAAGTGACACGTCATTCCTGGTATTCTGAAACCACGGCCTGAAGTACATGTTGGAGCATTAAATGTTCGAATCTTATGCCAAAAAGGACAACACGCTTCTTTAGCTAGGACTCCGGAATTTCGTGCCATTGATGTGTTCTGCGTCTCCAAAACGCGTAAACAGGATCCTACGAATATCTCCTACTCTCACTGGCCATGTTTCACAGCCGTAAAGTAAGACGGAGCGAACTACTGCACAGTACACTCGTCCTTTAGTCAGAAAACGGATATCTCGTCTACGCCATAAATGATGCAGATCGGCAAAAGCTAATCGAGCCTTCTGTATTCGAGCTGAGATTTCGTCACACACCAGACCATCAACACTGATGAGACTACCAAGATAAGTGAAGCGGTCTACACGTTCGACTACGTCACTCCCTATCACTAGTTCAGGTGCCGATGAAACCCAATCTTGAAGCAACATTTTGCATTTCGAGGGGAAAACCGCATCCCGAACATGCTTGCATTGTTGCTCAACCTGGTCAGAAGACTCCGCATTTCGTCAGCGTCTTCACCAAGTAGGACTATGTCATCGGCAAATTATACATCCATAAGCGTTCCTCCTGGTAATAGGTCTACTCCTGAAAATTCAGTCGAGGATAAGGTTATTTCTAAGAGCATGTCTATGATAAAATTAAACAAGAATGGAGATAGTGGACATCCCTGACGGACACCACTTGAAGTAAACAATTCCGATGACAGTTCACCATCATATCTCACTCGACCAATGGTGTTCGAGTAGAGAGCTTGTATGAGGTTAATGTACTTCTTTGGTACTCATTTCAATGACAGACACTGCCACAGAACCTCACGATCCACTGAGTCAAATGCCGCTTTTAGGTCCAGGAACACAACTATTGTCGGACGTCTAAATGTGTGTCTGTGTTCCAGGACCTGTCGTAGTGTGGAGATGTGGTCTATACATCCACGTCCAGGTCGAAAACCAGACTGGTTTTCTCTAGTCTGCACTTCACGAGCTTTCGTTATGCGCCGAAGTATTATTGAGGCCAAAATTTTAGATACTATATTAGTTAGATTGATTCCCCTGTGATTGTCACAAGAAGACTTCTGTCCTTTCTTATAAATTGGGACAATCAAGGATTGAGACCAGTCGGATGGGATTTCGTCCAGTTCCCAGATTCTACCTAAGATCTCAGTCAACCTAGCTGCTAAAACTGGACCGCCATCCTTAAATATCTCAGAGGTCAGTCTATCAGGGCCCGCTGCTCTCCCTTGTCTCAGATTTCCTAGCGCTTTCGCAACTTCATAAAGATTCGGAGGACTTAGGTCGGTTTCCCACTCAGGATTGCTGGAGATCGTGGGCAACCGAAGTGTAGCTGAACGCCAGTTGAACTGATACCTGAAGTGTTCTGCCCATCGATCCAATCTCCTGGATTGAGAATGGATAATAAGACCATGTTTTTCCGAGATAGTCTCACTTACACTCTGGTTCCCAATACCGGTTTCCCTGATAAGTCTGAATAGTTGCCTACTATGGCCTATCACCGCTGCCTTTTCCATCGCTTTTGCGTTGGTCTTGGAGACTTGGGAGCGTGACCGCAGAGCCCAAGGGACAACTGCTTGAGGCCGGTCACGCACGGCCTTTTTATGAAGGGTTTTTTGAGTATTAGCTCCGCTCTTAAAGGCCCTTAGTGGGCATCTATCATCAACAAATAGTTCAGTAGAAAATTTTAAATGAGAATGATGTGAGGATTAGTTTTACCATTTAGTAATTAGGGTGTATCTCAAGAAATAGAAAACTGCAACCACTGCATTAGTATTCCCGTCTAAGTGAAGTAAGTTGTAATTTATTGTTCATTCACTCGGGTTAGCGGGACCGCTAGATCTATTGAGAGCCCTTCTAAACAAGAAGTGTAATGAAAGGACTGGACGAACATCTATCTACAAAGGTTATTGATATATAAACGACTAAGTGATTCTAGTCCCGACCATAGCTGCTACCTCGACATAGTGGTCGAGCTTGCCTATCGCGATGACCCAAACGAGCGATATTGGCTGGAACATATGTTCCTGAAGGTCCTACCATGCCAGACAGGTCGATTGAAGAGCAATAAGACCAAAGACGACAATTTAAGGTCTGAGGGAGAAGTCGCACTGCCGACTGTAGAGGGGTGTAACAACGGTAAGGTGTTTCCCTCGGACAACCAGCATCTGCAGCCTTCTCACGAGAAAGGAAGGGGTAAGAAAAGGTCGACCTTAAAAATGTCACATCTCACCCTACCTCACGGATTTTCGTCTCCGGCGGTAAGGCCTTTTAAACAAAAGCAGAGCTAACACTTTAAAAACCTCATTAAAAGGCCGTGTGTAATCGGCCTCAAGCAGTTGTCCCTTGGGCTTTTCAGTCACGCTCCAAGGTCTCTTAGACCAACACTAATTTACCTTCGTTTTCAGGTTTCTAAAGAAACGCCGTTCCAAGG